TGGGCTATTAATTCAAATACAGTCAATGATCTAGTGGGTCTGTCACTGAATTTCTTCTTTGTTTTGCCCTTCGCAAATTTGGGTAAGTTAATGGGCTATTTAGAAGCAATGCAATATATATCTTTTGATGTTTCTCTTAAGTGCTTTCATATTTCAGAATCTTCTTTTGTCATCTTTTAGATTACTATCAATTATAGCTCTTTGCTCATGCATTTGCTGCATTTCTTGGCAGAGTAGTTGGGCTTCATGTGATTCAAGCACCAGTGCTTCACCCTGTAAGGGAATTACTAATATTTTTAATGAAATTTTCATCTTTTTCCTTCATCTAAATCAGCTATTCCTCTACTATTACATTAGCTAGGTGGCTGAAGGCCTGTTTAATTTTGTAATTGGATGGACTTTCCTCTTCGCTCCGCTTCTCTTCACCGACTGTCGTCGAGGAAGATTTAAAGGATCTCTTGACCTCTTATGGGGATTTCAGATGTTTCTCACAAACAGTAAGCTCTTCCCTTCCAACAATTTAACATTCTCCTTTGCATCATCATTCTTTAATACTCCTCACTAATGGTTTCGTTTCTTCCTGTAATGTCTTACAGCTTTTCTAATACCTTACATGGCTATCCGACTCAACAACATGAGCAGCGTTGCAGATCAACCACCTCCAAAGCAATCACAACTAGGCTTGTTAATGGCGAATGGTGCAGGACCTGTGGGCTTAATTGGAGGCATTGTGTGCTTTGTTTCTGTGATTTGGGCTCTCTTCGGCCGTGCCGATAGTGGTTTCGGCGATTTTGCCAGTCGATGGCAGTTTCTGGAGCTCTACATCCAAACAGAACGGCTTGCTTATGCTTTTATATGGGATATCTTCCTCTATGCCATATTCCAGCCATGGTTGATTGGTGACAACCTTCAAAATGTGAAGATAAGTGATAGAGAGTTAGTGAGTGTTTTAAGATACATTCCTGTGTTGGGATTGGTAGCTTATCTTCTCTGTTTGGATAGTGACTTAGATTTATAGCAGGACTGCTGGAAATTTGCTTTATGTAAGTTTATTTTGCTACATTTCTGAATGGATGATCAGTTTTGTGTATGATTTAATAGTCTTCATTTCACTATTTTACTAATTTGCACATTTACTCTTAGATTTCGTTTGGGACAATTTTCTTTCTGCTTCTTAAACCAGTTTTCTAGTTAAAAAATTAAACTTTTTTTAACTAAAAAGCTATTTTAAGAAGCAATAAGAAAGCCGTCCAAAGCGAAGCCTTTGACTCTATCATTCATTACCTATGATGCCCTTCATTTGCTCTTTCGCTCAATCTTTGTCTTCCTTCATGCATGCAATGAGATTAACTCCAAAATAACTGTCCAATAAAGATCAAAACCCAGTATTTGTTGGAGCTTCTTTAAGTGAGAATCTTATCGTATCTTGTGGGAATTCATTGAAGCGTAGCAGTCGGAAGCATTTAGAAATTTTGAGAATGAATGAATTGAATGGTGAAAACAAAGAGCCCT